TGATTTGTCTGTGTGTGTCCAGGTGATGTGTGTGTGTCTCTCTGTGTCCAGGTGATGTGTGTGTGTGTGTGTGTCCATGTGTTCTGTGACTGTGCCCATCTGTCTGTGAGTTGTGCGATTTCTCTGTGTGATATGTGTGTGTGTAAAGCTGAAAAGAGCCTCCTCTCGGGGAATCAGCCATGCTCTCAGGGGACACCCAACAAGGACAAGCTGCCACAGCTGGATCCCTCTCCTCCCCCGCCCGCTGCGGTTTCCAGCCACCGCCGGCTCTGCCCAAACAGGCCGAGAAGCCACCCGTCGGCAGAACCAGCAAAGCCTGCGCCGTGCTACGGTGGGGTGGGGGGTTCTGAGACCCTGGGGCACCTGGCTGTTCTGGAGCCCCAGTAAATTCCTGGGGGGGGGGGGGTGTCTCCCACAGCATAAACTGGAGCTGGGATTTACACATTGCAGCCTAGAACTAGCATCCCTGGGAGAAACCGAGGCACGGAATGGCGGCGGAGGAGGAAAAGCAGCTTATCAGATGGGCTCCATCTCCATCTCTCTCCTAGTTCCCCCTCTTGTTGTATCTTTCTCTCTCCCCCATTTGCTCACTGTTGCTCTCTCTCTCTCTCTCTGGGTTTCTATGGAAACCGTGTCTATGTGACCTCACTTCCTGTGACCAAATTATTTTTTTGAACGGGTCAGTAAAATGTGGCGAAGATGCCAGCAAAGCTTCATGGAATATCAAGGTTGGAAGGGACCTCAGGAGGTCATCTAGTCCAACCCCCTGCTCAAAGCAGGACCAATCCCAACTCAATCATCCAGGTGCAGGGTTTCAAAAAGGGCTTGTCCAGAGCAGGAAAACGAGCGGTCACTTAGTGCCTGCAGCCGGCAAGGACCGTCCCGGTTAAGAGGCTAGGCTGATCACAGCCAGCTAACGTGGTTAAACACGACTAGCACTGGCTACACAAGGCAGTAAACTGTTTTGGTGATAACATGTTAGCTGGCACGTGTAAAAAGCCCCTGACTTTCCTCATTTAGACATACCCACCCACGCGTACTGCATGCAGATACCAGGCAAACATATGCATATATACCGCACAGACACCATCAGCATGCCGGTCTGTTACACACCCATACGTCCACACCTTATACATGAATGCATTACATACTCACGCATGCAATCTGCAAACATGCTACGCACAGACCCGCAGAGTCATATGGACCCACAGCCATGTTGTAGCCACACAATCACATCCGGGTCTGTTACACATCCCTAGAGACGTGTGCATCCCTCCACCCACCCACCCAGAGACAGACCCAACAAACACACGTAATCCTGTCCACCAACACAATTGTTACAAGGAGGAGAGAGAAGAATTGTTCTTCTTAACTTCTCAGGATAGGACAAGAAGCAATGGGCTTAAATTGCAGCAAGGGAAGTTTAGGTTGGACATTAGGAAAAACTTCTTAACTGTCAGGGTGGTGAAGCACTGGAATAAATTGCCCAGGGAGGTTGTGGAATCTCCATCATTGGAGATTTTTAAGAGCAGGTTAGACAAACACCTGTCAGGGATGGTCTAGATAATACTTAATCCTGCCATGAGTGCAGGGGACTGGACCAGATGACCTCTCAAGGTCCCTTCCAGTCCTATGATGCTATGAATTATATCCACACATGTGTGCAACTCCACCCCAAATCACACAACCATGCACCCCACCCCATATTTCATACATGCACAATCACCCACTCACCTATGCACACGTGCAAAACATTACAACAGCTCCTCAACACACCTGCAATCACATATGGCTTACGTGCACAAATACACACACACACACACACAAGACACAAGCAGACATTCCCCAACCCCACCTGAACTCACCCATGCGGACACTATTGCCAACACAAGCCCCTTACCCACACAGCCTCACACTCGTGCACACACGTGTGCAATGAATGTAAACATCACCTCCTATCCCACGTGTATTGCCTGATGCACCATCGCCCATGTGACACACAGAGATGCAAATAACTCTGCGGAAAATGGTGCCCAGCTCTAGGAACAACGAGAAGGGGGGCAGAGGTGGCATAGCCCAATGGAGCAACCTGCCAGCAGGCTGGGGATGGACACAGCGGACAAAGGGACTCAACCCACTCAGGAGGTATCTGACCCTGGGCAGGTCAGATACCAGCAGTCTGTCTCTTGGGCAACCTATGTCTAGCTTACTACAGCAATAAAGCCTCTTTGAACTGAGCTGCGGTGTGGTCCCTCTGCCCCGCCGTTACCGTGATGAGCTTGGCGAAGGTCTCGTAGATGAAGATGAGGGAGATGAGGATGGAGAAGATCTCCTGGGTGTAGCGGGAGATGTAGCGGACCAGGAAGCTGCCCTCGAAGGCCACCACCACCAGCACCAGGAGGATGAGCCAGAAGCCGATCCAGACCCGGCCCACGATGTACTCCATGCCGTAGCTCTCACAGAACTGGGGGCGAGGGGAAAGGGGGAAGCAAAGCAGGCTTTGAGTCTCCTGTGGTCCTTTTCCTTCCCCTCCCGTGGCGCCTCAGCTGGCCTCATCTCCGCTTCTACCGGAGACCAGACAGGGCCTGGGCCCACCAACCCCGCCCCCATAAAACCCTTCACACTCTTCTTCCCAACCCCGATCCCCAAGAGACTCTGTCCTTCTCTCCCCCGCACTTCACCCCAGTTCCTGCTAGCAGCCCAGCTCAGCCCGGACAGACCAGTCTCTCTCCCCACTATCCCACCCCACCCCACGCCCTCCTGCCATCCAGCCTGGGACCCTGCTTGGCCTCCTTCCCAACGGCTGGGCACTACTGGGCTTTGCTTCGTACATGGGTTCATGGCTCCGGTGGTGCCGGGGATGGGGGCTGCCCCAGAGAGGAAGGGGCAGCGCCTCCTGCTGGGAAGGATGGGTTTGTGCTCCATCAGGTTGGAGTGATCCTCAAGCAGGGGGAGTGGGTATGAAGCTGGGAGGTGGAATCATGGGTCGCCCACTCCCCAGGCACTGGAGAGCTGGTCCCCAGGGGACGGGCTGTATAAGGCAGCCGGGGGGACCTCATGGGGGGGGAGAGCTGGACCTGCCACACCTTTCCCTGCAAAGCCACACAAGCTGCAGAGGGAGGTCGGGGGGGCACATGCAGGGCGGGGGGGGGGGGGAGGGAACCAGGGCACCTACCTTAAAAAAGGCTTCTTCAAAGACCAGCAGGGGACCCGAAAAGCCGACCACCAGCAGGGGCTGAGCGCCGAGGAGGCAGAAGATGATGCCCTGCGCGGCTGTGGAGATCAGCAGCTCCGAGACCCCTATGAGGTTGCTTGTCTTTTCCCCTAGAAACAACAGTGCAAGTCAGCAGAGAGGGACGGGGACCCCCGTGGGCCAGGGAGCCCCCGACCCCACTGGGGCACTCTCCAGAGGGGGCCTGGGGCTGCCTTATGGGGCAGGGGCCCCAGGGAGCCATCCTGATTCCCTGGGGGCCAGCAACTGGGTCCCACTTACCCAGTAGGCCCCCGAAGGTGATGGCGGGGGAGAGGGCTGCGAAATAAATGAAGATGACGGCGGCCAGGCACTGGGCATTGAGGGCGTCCTTGATGTCGCTGAGGTATTTGGGGTAGCGGCGCTTAATGTCCCGCACCAGGCCCCCGAAGGGCCGGCCGGTCCGCCGCAGTGGGTCGTCGTCCTCCTCCTCGAGGGCCTTGTCTGCCAGGCCTTGATCTGCAGGGAGACAAAGGCACCGGTGGCCAGGTTGGGGTGGAGAGGTAACGCCTGGAGTGAGGGGGAAATTCAGCCTCTGTCTTCACTCTCTCCTGGGCTTCCCCCAGTGAGCCCCCAAACGTGACCCACCACCGGGCTGAGAGGGGGTGTTAGTCCCCCATGACCACTTGCTGGCAGGCTCCCCACACCTGGCCCCAAGGGGCCACCATCTCCAGAGCAATCGGGGCTCAGCTCCATGTTCACTCAGCACCAGCCTGCAAACCCTGACCTCCAGGTGCCGCCCTCTCCTAGGCGGAGAATGGGGCTCCCCCCCGCATGTCCTCGGTGTCAGGCTCACCGAGCCACCACCCCTGCCCCGGGCGGACACTGGGATTCAGCATCCATGTTTCCTCAGCCCTGGGTTCCTGCCACGCTGCTCCCCGATAAACCTCCACCTCCCCCCCAGCGCTGCCCCATTCATGCATCCCCCTCCCAAAGGATCCTTCCCATGGCCTGGCAGGACCATCGTGGGCAGGGACCAAGGCTGGTGGCTTTGGCCTGCAGGAGGTAGAAGAACCTCCATTGTCCTACTCAGGGGTCCCGTTGCTTCTATTTTCAGTGGCAGCCATCCCCAGCAGGGCGCAGGCCGGGGGCCTCAGGGGCTAGGGCAAGAGGCTTCTCCAGAACCTACATGCTGCCCCCCAGACTGTGCCCTACATACCCAAGTCCTTTAAGATCTTCATTTCCGGCTTCTTCTCGTCCGGCAGGTACCGCTTCCGCAGCAGCTCCTTCTGCATGGGCACCAGGCTCCTGAGGAGCCGCTCGTTCTGGATCTCGCAGGGCGGGAGGACAATGCTGCAATCCAGAAACTCCTCCACGCCCTTTATCAGGTCCTGGCGCTCCTCGGCCAGGTAGGCGTCCCTACGGAACCCCTGCCAGGGGAGAGGGAGGCTCAGGAGGGCAGCGAGACTCCCCGCACGCCTACCGCAGACCCCTGGGACCGCTCCATCACAGGGGGGCGTCAGTGAGCGAAGGCCCTTCTGAACCATCTGGCCAGCTGGGCTCCCTGTTGCCCTATATCCCGTTACAGCAGCTCAGGGCAGGTCTACACTGAAAACGCTGTGCCGGTGCAGCTAACACGTCAGGGAAAACTCTGCCGCCGACGGGAGAGCTTTTCCCATCGGTTAACCCGCCTCCGCGAGAGGCAGCCGCTGTGTCGGCAGGAGGAGCCCGCCCGCGACAGAGCGCTGTCTACACCAGGGGTTAGGTCGGTCTAGCTGCATCCTCAGGGGTGCGGATTTTTCCCAACCTAAGCGACGTCGTTATACGTTTATAGTGCAGACCTGGCCTCAGGTCAGAGGGCCTAGAACAGCTGATTAGATCCACGTAGGTATTTACACCTGTAACACGGTGGCTTGCTCTGGGCTGAATGAGCCCCACCTGGGGAGACTCAGGCGCTTTCCCATACCGGGCAGATGGCCCCTGCAGTGGAGAGGGGCAGCCAGGCTCAAGTGGTGACAAAGCCCCGCTCTGGTTAGGAGCTGGAGTGAGAACTAGGCTCAGGCGGTCTGGAAAAGCTCTCCTGGGAGAGACCCTGGACAAGGTGGAGTGACGGAGAGGCTGGGTAGGAAGGGGCCCAGAGAAAACCACAGCTTAAGTAGAGGAACAGACCTGGCGGTTGCGTACACGGCCCTGGGCCAGAGCCCAGAGTAGGGGGTGAGGCTGGGTTCCTCTCCCGGCCCCGAGGCAGAGGGGGATACAGACCCACTGCAGGGGTGATGGAGCCCAGCAAGAGGTGGCAGGCTGAGCCGAAGACAGGCCGGGGAAGAGTCCCAGGGAAGGGGGAGGGTTTCTGTTTGTGTTTAAAGACATTTTTGAGGCTTTTCGTTTTGCTGCCCGGGCTCCCGGAAGGGCGGGTCCGAAGCTGTGGACCCGGCCAGAGGGCTGAGTGACGGACAGAGAGACGGCCGCAGTGTCGGCGTGCCCATCGTCCGGGGGCGCTAGCCCAGCGAGAGAGCTGCTACCCCACGGCCGGCCACGAGGGAGTGCCTCGCGGTGAGCGAACTGGGTCACGACACCCAGCACCTCCCGACGGCGCTGTCCCGAAGGCTATTGGAGCGGATGGAAAGACCCCCACTGACTTCCATGAGCTTGGGATCAGGCCCTTAGAATGTGGGCTCCTCACTCCAACCCCGAAAGGGCAGGAGGCGAAGTCTTTCCCCTCCAGCGCTGCAATGCCTCCCCCTGGCTAGGATGGAGGCATCACCTTGAGCAGGGAGGCCAAAGGCCTTTAACACGCGTGTTTGAGACGGGGCCGGATGTGGCTGCCGGGGAGCAGGATGAGGGGCCCTGATATCCTATTCTGGATGTAGCTGCGGGGGAGGAGCCGCTGCCTGGGGGTGTCATGGGCACAGATCCCCAGTCCCCGGGAGGCCGCCGTACCCTTTCTGCCATCATGGTGGAGACGGCCCGTCCGATCTCGTGGTAACTGATCTGCGGGGAGTCGGGTCCCAGCACCATGAAGAGGAACCTCACGGGGACCGGCACCGCCAGGACCAAGTCCAGCTCCACCGCTTCCTTCAGGCGCACGAAGGCCAAGGTGGGGTGATCCAGGAAGGCGGCGCGGCCTGGAGAGAGGACGGGATAGCGGGGGGGTCACTGGCGGGGCTTGGCACAGAGGGCAGGCAGAGGGGGCTGGAGGGTGGGGGCGGGGCAAGGGAACAAAACGGAGAGGCTGAAAGAGAGCAGGAGGGGAAAGAGAGGGAGGAAGAGAGACGGCGCAAAGTGAGCGAAGTTCCATCAAGCCAGACACGCAAGCAAAACAGCGTTTCGGCTGGGCACAGAGAAAGCTGCCCAAGCGCCCGAGACAGCAAAAGCCAGAACGTGGGACCTCCCCGCCCGCCGAGGCCAGCCTCTGCCACGCGCAGAGGGGCATCTCCCCTCCCACAGCTGGTCTTGCCCGGCTGGATCCTGATGCCCAGCTCCAAGCACCTCTGGTTCCTGAGCAGCCACCTGGATCTCGCCTCCTGCTCAGCCCCTTTCCCGTGGTGGAGAGCAAGGGGCATGTGGCACGGCTCAGGAGCCACAGGGGACCCAGGAGAGGGTCGTGCTCACCTACGAAGACCAGCGTGGCCTCGGCATCCTCTGGGATCTTCTCGAGGAGCTGCTTACTGAAGGCGTGCCCCCGGGGCCCTTCCTGCAGAGATGCAAATTCAGAGATTCTCATCCCGCGGGGGGCCACCCCCGCCAGGGCACAGGGGTGTCATCAGCCGCGTTTCTCTCCATCGCACTGCTGAGCCCACCTGTAGCCATGCCCACGGCTCACGTCCCCAGCTGGACCAGAGAGCAACCCCCCTTGAGATGCCCTCACTCCAGAAGCTGCAGCCTCTATCTGCACACGGTGGGCTCCTACTGTGCTTGCATTTCAGCCTCAGGTTCTTGGTGTCTACAGACCCAGTTCCCTCCTGGTGGGACTCCACCGGCTGCAACCTGGGATGATGCATGAGGCCGTGCAGACGCATGCTATTGGTGGGTCCCTCTGTCCCCTGCTGCTCCACACACCCCCATAAATGGCTGTCCTGAGGTTCTCAAGCTGGGGGCCCATTCCCACCGTCTCCTTGCCTGTTCCGTGCCCGTGAGCGTCTGCATCTCGATCTGGTGATATTCCTGCATGAGAGGCTGGGACATGACCTCGTCCTTGGTGTCCTTTCGTTCCATTTGGCCTGGGGAAAGGGTCCCCATGGATTCAGACCCATCTGGGTGGCTGCAGAAAGAGGGAGGAAAAAACCCAGACCTTATCACCCTGGGGGAGACACTGCCCAGGCAGATGGAGGGGTTTGTTCTACCCCTCCTCCTCCCTGCATCCCATTGACCAAATAATTGTTAATTATCCTAATTAATAAATTAATATTGATTATTTCATTGCAAAGGAACCTCCAGTACTACAAACACCCCCAGGAATCACTTCACCAGCTACTGCAATGCATCCACCTCTGGGATGGGACACGGCGGCTGATTAACAGCACCCGGTAGTGCTGCACGGTTTAGCAAAGGAAGCAGAAGAAGACTGTTGTATCTGGGGATGTGTGGCCAGGCAAAGCCCTCCCAATGCCTTTCCTCCCCCCCCCCCCCCCTTCCCACAATCTTGCACATTGCGTCATCATTGGCACCTGTGTAAATGGGACTGGCACTTGTGCAAAGGGGACTGCAGGATGAAACACTCCCCATCGGAATAGCCAGGATGCTGGGATTCCCCCAGCGCCCTCGGACTCCCTCCTTTCCCAGCTCCCCCAGAAAGACGTCAAGACCCCAGCACCTCCGGGCGGCAGAGGACTCAGTACCTGTGCTGCAGCAGCAGGGTTCTCAGGAACGCCTCTCTGTCCTGTGGTTTGAGCTGCCCTTCATAGATCATTTGGTCTATCAGCTGATTGGTGATGCCTGCCAGGAACTTCTCAGGCAGATCCAGTAGGACAGTGCCTGGGGGAGACGGGCAGACGTCACTATGGCTGAAGTCTTCCCTCCCTGCTCAAGCCATTAGTCATTGCCTCACCCAGGGCATGGGATTCCCCGTCTCTGTCCACCACCTCCTTTCCCTCCCGCTTTGTTTCTTCTCTCACGCTGCGTCTCACATGCTCTCTGTTCCCTCTGGCTCCGATTCTGCAAAGGAGGTGCAATGCCTGGGTGCCTCCGGTAGCGCTTTGCCCGGGAGTAGGTGAGGACAGAGGTGCAGGGAGCGACAGCATCAAGCCCTCTGGGTCGATCCTTTCTTGGCCCTGTTCTCTGCTTTCACTCCATAGTCTCTCTCTTTCCTTTCCAGTTCCCACCGCTCTCCAACCTACCAAACCATTGTATCTATCCCCCGCCCCCACAACATGTTCCACCCGCCTGCTTCAGGGCACAAGCCAACTACTGGCCGATGAGGGTCAGGAAGGAATTTCCCAACTTATTCCAGGTTCCGTGACTGGAGCCTTTGAACTTCCCTTGGAAGCAGCTGGCGCTAGCCCCTGGTGGCGGCAGGATATTGGGCTCACTGGCCAGTTGGGTGCAACATTTCCTATCAACGGGGCCAAACTGGCTGCTGGTGTAAGCATGTGTCTCTCCAGTGCAATAGGTGTCATGCTTCTCGCTTACGCCACTGACAACTATCATCCGGATGCTACCCATAATATTAAACCGAAGGGCCAAGATCTGGCTCACTCTTCCTAGGTCACCCCTGCTCCATTCCCTCACTCCTTCCCTTGTTCCTGGCTCTTTATTATCTTCCTCTCACTGGCTCACCGTTCATTTCTCCTCTTCCCCCCTGCCGCTCTGTACTGTTGTTTCTGATCGCCGCTGCCCCTCTCCTCACCTTTCGTGAAGGCCTTGCGCACCTCCAGCAGGCTGCGGAAGGTCAGGTATGAGAGGTGTGGCCTCCCCCAGTGCCCCGCCTCCTCAAAGTCCTCCTCCAGCTTGATCCAGTGGCCGGCCTCCATCCAGCGTAGCTCGTTGTTTGTGTCCATGACCAGTTCTTGTAACTCCACATATGCCTGGGAAGGGAAGAGCGGACGGGACACAGCCCTTGGAGAGCAGGCTGGGATGAGAAGCCAAAGAAGTGGCCAGAACATCCCCAATACGCCAGTGGCGATTGATGCCTGCGTGTGGTGATTGATGCCTGCCTGAGTATGCAGAGAGCCTGAAACAGTAGCTCTGAGAGGGAGGATTGCAAAGTTCTCCCAGGCTCCACCCACAACCCAATCTCCACCCGCTAAAGCTGTCAAAATGAGAGGCCAGTGGCATAGATTGTGCACATGTCGTGCAATCTCTGGGTTCTGCAGCTGGGATGCCCCATTCTCCTCCTTGGGGGTGGCCTCCTGGTGTGGGACTCAGTCTAGTCCCACTCAATTTACCGCTTCTTATGGCTGCTTATGTATGCAGCCTGGCTCAGTTGTCCCACTCCCTCCTTCCCCCCACTCCCACCCCTCACTGGGACTGTAGCACTCCATGGGGCTCCCTTTCCTGGACCACTTCTCACGGGCATCAGTGCGTAAGTCTGACTCTATCTAAGCAATGCCAGTGGCTGACTGAGTCCTCATAGTCCTGGCAGCCTTGGGCAGATTTGGGGTCCCACACACGGGATGCCCCTCCACCCCTGCCCTGCTCCGCAACAGGAGCAGAGCAAAGGGGATCTTTCCAAAGAAGAGTCAGGTGCCCGATTCCCATGGACGGCCCAGGGGAGTTGGGTGCCTTCAGGCAGCTACATCAAGGGGATGCAATGATCCATCTCCCTTCCCCCCTGCCCTAGGAACTCGAGGTCCCATGAACCTCTAAGCTGCAGCGAGGTCTAGCTGTAGGGGTGTGGGGCAGGGAGGTTAGCACCACAAGGACATGGACCAGACATGGGGACAAGCTTACAAAGACTAATCCCCTCCTTCCCCCCCCCCCCGGCAGTGCTGGGAAGTGCCCAATGCTACACACCCACCCCAAGCTGAGCCCATCCAGGCCTTGGGAGGTGATCAACTTCCCTAAACGCCAGTGCACCCCTCGCCTCGGAGTCCATAGCAAATCAGCCCCAGGAACCCGATGCCTTCTGGGCTCATGGCGTTATTCCAGTGTATGGATTCATTTGCAGCGGGAGGCTGCGGGGCATGCGAGCCTGGACTTTCCCATGCCCCTTTTGCCCCCAGTATCAAGCCCAAAAGGTGGAAGGCACAGAGCTCTCCTTAGAATTCAATCCCTGACTGATTTGATCCCCCATAAGATCAAAACTTGGAGAGAGCAACTCGCCAGGTATTAAAAAGAACCCAGAGTCCAGCTTTCCCTCAGCTGGGTTTAGGCAAGTAACAGCGGGTGATTTAATTGATGGCTCCGGAGGGCGGGAACTAACAATGCAATAAGGCTGGGGTGGAGATTCTGAATGAGGTGGACCCGTGAAGAGCCCATGGGGAGACAAGTCTGGCTAATGATTATGTTACGCAGGCTGTGGTGGCTTTGATAGGTCCGCCGGGATAGCCAGGGCGGATTCGTCTAGGAGCCAGTGGCCAGTGCTGGTGGCTTCAGGCAAAGGCACAAGAAACTCCCTAGTTGATTGTCATGGGAGAACCTGTCCAGGGTTCTTCCCAATCCCCAAGCGGTTCGGGCCAGATTTTCTAATCAGCTGAGCCCAGGTGCATGCTGGGTGGTGAGAACTTTGTAAACTTTGGCTCTTATTTAGGTGCCTATATGGGAAAGTCCAGCCCTGAGCTCTTTGGAAAATCTGGCCTTAGCGGCTGGCTCTGGCCTGAAGCAGGAGCGTTGGCACCCTTTGTCCATGTGCAACGTAAGGGTGCGTGCTCATGTTATCCAGAGAAATGCCTGATCCCTTTGGAACTCCCGGTGAGTTCTTGGCCTCAGTGACATCCGGTGGCAGTCAGTTCCACAGGTGAGTTAGGCCTTGGGTACACAAGTATGACCTTGTATTAATTTAAAATGTGTGGCCTTTCCGCTTTGTTGGAAGGTAGAGCGAGGAGCTAGGTGGGGAAACAAACACCGCCCTGGACACATGGTGGGGAGAAAGATCTGCTGCCTGTTTCAGAGTGAGTGAGAGGAGCGGACATGATTGAAGTAGGAGGAAGGGTCGGCAGCAGGGCGGGGGTGTTCCCTCACCCCAGCGGTATCATCTCTCCTTTCTGCCCCATCTTCCCCCTCCCCCAGGTCTGATGCAAACTCTCTGGACCTGATCCTCAGCTGAGAATCAGGCTGTGTACTCCTGCAGCCACTCGGAGGCGCTCTGACCCCTCCGCTGTAGGGTAGGACCCAGAGGACGTGGCTCCCCACTGAACACCTGGGAAAGCAAGAGGCGTGAGTCGCTGCAGAGGGGTATTGCTGGTCTATTCCCAGCATGCTCCCTGACTCCCGTCACCAAGGCAGCGTCACCGAGTTTTCGTTGTTCTATGTCTAACTCTCTCTAAGACCCTTCCGTTTTCTTATTTTTCCTTGGGCCGGGAATTGGATGTGATTTCATGCTGGGCTGGGCTGAATAGAAAGGGGATTTTTTTATGCAACTGCTGGACCCAGACAGACCCTGTGGTCCACTCTGGCTTTCCAGCTCCCAGCCTGGCCTGCCCAGGGTTCATGCAGGGGATTTCTCCACGGCCTGGCCTGGCCTGGTGTCTGCACTCCTGGAAGGGGTGGCTGAGGGCACTAAATCCCAGTGACGATCCTCCCAAGTCTGATCAGAGCCTCTTGGTTCTGCAGGAAAGGCCCAGAAATGGAAGGAGAAAAAGGAGAGAGAAAGGGGTGAAATCTCCCCACCCCCAACCCAGTTCACCTGCCCCCCACCGCCCTCAAGTGCTGGCAGAGCTCTACCCTGCCGGCTGCCGCATAAGCAAAGCGGCGTCCCATTCCAGGCAGGCATGAGCCCCCAGCACCAGCACCCACCAAGCAAACCCAGCTCTGGCAGCCAGTCAAACTGGGGGACTGGGTGCTGCCTGCGCCCTGCTCAGACCGGCTGCCTCCAGCTCCGTGCGCACAGGGGCAGTTCAGACCAGTCTGAAATTGCCGCAGTAACTGGAAATGAACTGTCCCAGCTGCCCAGGAAAAAAGGGCTTTGAACTGTCATGAAGCGGCTGAGTGATGGCTGGGAAAGCAGCTGTCCCAGAACTGTACCGGGTGTGTTTATAAAGCAAACAGGCCTACTGCCTTGGACTCCTTCCTGCTCCGCCTGTTCCCCGGGGAGGGTCTCCCCCTGCTCCGCCTGTTCCCCGGGGAGGGTCTCCCTCCTGCTCCGCCTGTTTCCCGGGGAGGGTCTCCCTCCTGCTCCGCCTGTTCCCCGGGGAGGGTCTCCCCCCCTGCTCCGCCTGTTCCCTAGGGAGGGTCTCCCTCCTGCTCCGCCTGTTCCCCAGGGAGGGTCTCCCCCCCTGCTCTGCCTGTTCCCTTGGGAGGGTCTCCCCCCCTGCTCTGCCT